AATCCACTCCCCCAAACACAGGCCAACATGAACAGTAAATCCTTAGTGGCTGCGGAATGCCGACTTACCTAATGGAATCATGAAAAGGAGAGATAGAGGCAGAGGGACTTAGATATTGAAGACCAGAGAGAACTACTTCACTTTGAGTAACTCATATCACAGTTCCAAAAGAGAAGGTTTATTTTTAAATGTCTTGAGAGAGCTGTCCTTAAAAATCTCAGGGAGCTCAAGAAATCTTAACATTTTAATGAGACCAGAGGTGGGCATCAATAACTCCCCCACTTCTAAACACCCTCTGGTGCTAGCAAGAAAGAATTTGTGTGTGTGTGTGAGTGAAACATTTTTTTTTAAATCCTGCTAATACAAATTCCAGAGCAAACATGGTACACTGTTTCCATAGTGCAAACTAGGAGGGACTGTGGCATTTTGACAGCTTTTTGCTATACTTCATGCTTAATACACTGAGTAATCCACAGCAGTCTTACCTATCCCAGCTATAGGTTAAGGATTGTGCTGAAACTGAAAGAGTAGCTTACAGCAGCCCCACAGTGTTACCTACTACTTTTATTCCTTCTTTAAAAATCATTTTTATTAATAATAAAAAACAACCACACAATATTTTATCTATATATCTAAAACATACAGGCATAAACAACAAAACTATAAACACTACTAAACAACAAAACAAAAATAAAAAACACAAAACCAACACTAGTGACTTCTTATTCTCTAACTGATGAATATATTCCCCTGTGTACTATACTTCCTTTAAATGATAATATATTTATGCTTCAGTATCATACAAACTGTGTGTAATTTACAAAACCTAAAACTAATATATGGCCCCAAAGAGACTGCAAAAATGTAATAAACAATCCCCAGTTTTCTTTAAAATATTCAGTCAACACTGTCTATTTGTCCATCTCAGCAAGTTTAGTTATCTTCACCAACCAATCTTCTTTTGTTGGAATGACAGTATCCTTCCATTTGGCATAGACTATTCTTGCCTCAGTTATCATATAATGTAAAGTCTTCCCATATTTCTTCTCTGATTGTTCATCTAACATTCTCAACAAAGCAAAGGGTTCAAACTAGAGGAAAAATATTTCACCTCAACGTTAGCAGGAATGTCCTGACAGTAAGAGCTGTTCAACAGTGGAAGACACTCCCTTGGAGAGTGGTGGAGTCTCCTTTGGAGGTTTTTAAACGGAGGCTGGATGACCATCTCTCAGGGGTGCTTTGATTGTGAGTTCCTGCATGGCAGAATGGGGTTGGACTGGATGGTCCTGGGGTCTCTTTCTATGATTCTAAGAGGGAGTGTGGGTGACTGTAGTGGCAATTGTGGCAGGCATCAGGAGACAGTGTGATAATGCTTTTCCTGCAGCTTCAGGCAGTGGGAGAACTGAGGCCCCACAACTGCATTGGGGAATAGCTTTTATGGTCACCAGTTTTTATTGTTTAAAAATCCCAGAACAAACGACTCCAAGAGCTGGAAGGGGCCATGTAGATTTATTTCATCCAATCCAGAGCCTGGAACTTTAGAGGAGAAGTCATATTGTTATCTCAGTTATCATATTTGATTCATTCAGTTAACAATAGTAGGGAGTGTATTTTAAGTTAATCATTAAGTTGAACATAGGGATCTTAGTCAGGCATGGACACAGAGTGGTCCTCCAGATGATGTTGGAGACATATTACAATGTAGAAACTTCCCAGTAAATATATATATTAATTGTAACGATGTCAAAGAGACTGCAAATTCTCTTGAATGTTGAAAAGTGTGTGGAGAGGGGTTAAGAAGAAAGAGCTCATGTGCAGGGTGACCAGATGTCCTACCTGCAAAGAAGGACATGGCACCACAAAATGTAGGACAATCAAGAAAAATGTAAGGCATTGCAAAATAAAAGCTAAAAACTCATATAAATGTAAATTCATGCTTCTTAACCATGCTCAAAATGGAGGACAGTTTGAAATTCCTCTTGGACAGAAGGTTGAAGTGGAGGGCACGTCCTGGAAAAGGAGGACCTCTGGTCACCCTGCTCATGTGACATACTACCTCAGCTCTTCTGGCTCACTGATATAGAGGTCTGAAGACTTCTATCGATCCTATTTCTTCTCTGCTCTTGTCACAAACATTGTGTTCAATACAGTGAGCCCTTGGTGTATCCACTGGGCTTTGGTTCCAGGACCCCCGTGGATACCAAAATCCATGGATGCTCAAGTCCCATTAAATACAATGGCAGAGTGAAATGGTGTCCCTTAGATAACATGGCAAAATCAAGGTTTGCTTTTGGGAATTTATACACACACAGACACACACACACACATATTTTCAAGCTGTGGGTAGTTGACTCCGTGGATAAAGAATCCATAGATATGGAGGGCTGACTTTACAGGAGGACACTCAACAAACAAGCCCAGTACAGATGAATGCTTGTTAGGAAATTGAGAATACAGTCGGCCCTCCACACACATTGATTTTTTTTAATCCATGGATTCAAGCATCCGTGGATTGAAAATATTCTAAAAAAATTAAATTACAAAAAGCAAACCTTGATTTCGCAATTTTATTTAAGGGATACCATTTTCCTATCCATTGTATATAATGGGACGAGCATCCATGGATTTTGGTGTCCATGGGGGGTCCTGGAACCACATGCCAGCGGATGCCAAAGGCCCACTGTAGTAGTAGTAGTAGTAGTAGTAGTAGTAGTAGTAGCAGTAGTAGCAGTAATATACCATTGTATATAATGGGACTTGAACATCCACAAGTTTTGGTATCCACAGAGAGTCCTGGAACCAAACCTCAGCGAATACCAAGGGGCCCACTGTAGTAGAAGTAATAATAATAATAATAATAATAATAATAATAATAATAATAATAATAATAATAATATCCCATTGTATATAATGGGACTTGAGCATTCACAAATTTTTGTATCCATTGGGGGTCCTGGAACCAGCCCCCAGTGGACACCAAGGGCACTGTAGTACTAGTAGTAGTAATACCTCATTGTATGTAATGGGACTTGAGCATCCACAAATTTTGGTATCCACGGGGGAACCAAACCCCAGCAGATACCAAGGGCCCACTGTCATTTCTCATATTTATGAGAAAACCAAAGTAGTACCGTAGTAGTAAGAGAACGAACCAAGAAGCATACCTGGCATATAGGAAAAAATCAAATAGAACAAGTTAAATTCTACCATTCTTTAGGAATATTGTTTGCTGCTTCCAGATCCTGGTGCCCTCATATCAATGCTGCCAAAATTAAAATGGAACAGCTTATTGGAGCCATTCTTAAATTTTGGTACACCTCAACCGGAAGATGGGTCCTGCCAATTTTGCAACTCATCAAGAAAAACATTCAACCACAGGTACTATTTGGAGCAGAAATATGGGGGATCCCAGAAGGCTGGGATGTTTACAGAACAAAATCTTAGGAACTATCCTCAGAGTTCTGAGGTCCAACACAGTGCTTAAGGCTGGAGCAGTAGCATCCCTCAGGGGTGCAGGGGGGGTGCGGGCCGCACTAGGTGACACCCAAGGAGAGGGGGTGACACCCAGTTGGCCTCTCGTCCCCCTACAGGTGCTCCTTGGGCCCACACACGCATTCCTTGTGCTTGCACTGGTGCTCCAGGAGCTGCGCAAGCACTCTGGGCCTGTGCGGGTGGCCCTCAGGGTCGTGCAAGTGCCACTTTGCCTAGTGCAGGTGCCCCTTGGGGCCACGTGGGCACCGTTTTGGCCTGCATGGCACTTCTTCGGCCATGCAGGTACTCCTCCAGCTTGTGCAGGCACTCTAGAGGCTGCGCAGGTGCTCCTTGGGCCCACGTGGGTGCCTCTATGGGCTGTGCGGGTGCTCCTCTGGTCTCAAAAATAAGAAGTCATGCCCTCCGCACTGGGTGTAATCCAGTGCAGGACCACCAGTGGGCTGGAAATAGGTTCTCATCCTTGGTCCCCAACCATTTGTTCACATATTTTCAATTTTTGGACAAGATTTAAGGATCTGCCTGAAAGCTGACTTGTGAAACTGTTACAACGAACAACTGACCATTGCCCACTTAAGAGACAAAATATGGTTGGATTATATACCCCACCTTCTTGCCAAATGTGGGTCCTCAGAGGCATTCTTTCACCAAAAAGATAAAGTAAAGGCAAAGAAGGAATTTAAACTCTGGGTGTTAGACACTGGTCTGCAAGATGATTGTGCGGCACTGAGCACCATCAAGATTGCACCATGGAATAGCTTATTTTAAAAATCCCATGGTTCAGAGGACTACTTGGTTAAAACTGACAAATACCCCTTAAGGAGGGAATATACACTAGCCAGATTTCAACTAATGCCAAATTCCATACTAACTGCAACTCTGTCACTGTGGTCAAAACAAAATTGACGATCTTCCCCACTATTTATTTAGCTGTCCCCTTTCATCAGAAATTAGGAATAAATTCCTTTTGGGACCTCTACAAGTGCAAGATTTCTGGCCAGCAAGTCGAAAGGTTAAATTTTTAATTTACAATAATGGCCCTGTGATATTTAGAAGAGCCACAACTTTTATATTGTCAATCAAACAAGAAGATAGAATAGGAAGACCTAGAACCTGTTGTGAAGTAGCTTTAGTTTAAATGATTTATGGACTCCCATAATGTCTGGTATATCTGTGTCACTCAAACTTAAGAAGGCTTTGGGATTTAATCTGGGTTTTAAAGTTATAGTCAATGTGACATTTTAATGTCTTACTTATTTACTGTTTTTGTATTATGCCTGCACTTTTTTGTGGCGACCTATGATCATGTGCAATAAATGTTTCTTATATCTATCTCCATATTTATAAATAGGCTGAGAGGAAAAAATTGGTGGAGAGCATCCCCAAAGACTGTGTCCTGCTGTTTTTCTGCATCCCTCATAATAGTAATGGGGGTTTGGCTGCTCCTATGGTTCTTTCAGAAAGGTACCATGTAATGCTGCTTCACTATTTCCAAAGCTTAGGACCAAAGAGGTAGTGTGGTGCAATGGTTTGGGTGTTGGACTGGGCACTGAAAGACCAGGGTTCGAATCCCAGCTCAGTCACAAGACTCACTGGGTGATCTTGGGCAAGTCACATGCTCTCAGCCTCAGAGGATGGCAAGGGTAAACCCACTCCAAAGAAACTTACCAAGAAAATCCCATGATAGGGTTGCCATAAGTTGGAAAGGACTTAAAGGCACACAACAACAAAACCAGATTCCTTATCCAACTCCAAGTCTTGCCCAGTTATTTGTTTCTGACTTTAACATGCTGTTCCATCCATTTCCATAGATGGTGCTTATATTTTGTAGACTCCTCATTTTTATGGGGAGGGAGGGCATGGGTCATTGTCCCAGCTGTGTTGTTTTCAGATTTCACCTACTTTGAACAATGAGTATTTGGCCTATTTAATACTAATATTAAAACTTACTGGGTTTTCACATTATTTATTTTTAATTGTGTTGTGAGCTGCTTTGGGTTCCAGTATTGCAGGAGAAGGAGGATACTAAATAAAGCTGGGAGAAGTAAATGGACAGAAATATAGATGGAAGGAGGATTTCAATTTGCAGATTCCAAAGAGCTATTGCTTCAAAAAATGTGCCCCTAATATGGGGACATTTATATCTGTTCTCAAGCAGCAGCCATAAATAGTGTTTTTTTATTGTTTCCAATGGGAAGGAAATTATTTTAAGGAAGACAATCAAAGGTGCTTGTTATTAAAATGTCATAATCCTCCATATTGTCTTCCTTGCTGAAAGGATAGAACTTCAAATGTAGACTTTCATCCATGGATTTTTTTTTATTCACAGTTTCAGACATCCACAGCTTGAAAATACTTGAATATATATATGTATTCCAAAACGCAAACCTTGTTTTTGCTATTTTATATAAGGCACACCATTTTACTATGCCACTGTATTTAATGGGACTTGAGCATCCACAAATCTTGGTCTCCATGCAGGGTCCTGGAACCAAAACTCCAGCGGATACCGAGGGTCCACTGTATAATCCAGGAGTCTCCAATATGGTCTCCAATATACTCTGTTTGTCTAATAATTCATGTTTATTTTGATGTTTTAATTATCATGTTTTAATGGTAATATTGATTTAATACTTTTTTAAGGGGTGGGAGGGTTTTGGGATTTTGGATTGTATTTTAATATATTGTATGGAATTTTAATTACTGTAAGCCACCCCAATTGTTTGACAGAGGGGTGGGATACAAATAATAATAATAATAATAATAATAATAATAATAATAATAACAACAACCTGTGATTGATGGATCCTTTGGCACCCATCAGGTTCCCTTCCTCCTGATTTTCAAGATTAAAGTAAATATGTAATTCCTTAAGGTCACCATAAGTGAAATAGTCTTCATAAGACGTGAAGACACACAACAGCAAAATAATAATAATAATAATAATAATAATAATAATAATAATAATAATAATATAAAATTTATTTATATCCCACCTCTCCATGTAATGCAACTGGGTGGCTTACAACATTAAAATACACATTCCATATCCTGCAATCCCACCCACCCCTTAAAATACTATTAAACAATTGACAGTTTAAAACACACTTAATATAATAACACAATAAACAATAACTGCAACAAAATCAAGGACAGCAGGTTGGGCTATCTTTTGGTGGCTGAGATATCTATTCAGGAAACGCCTGCCAGAAGAGATCCATCTTAACAGCCTTTTTAAAGCTCTTTAAGATGGTAATATAATCTGAGAGTGGTTGCCGAAAAGGTCCTCTGGGCGGTTGCAGACAGCCTAGTTTTTATCGGCTGCAGCAAATTCCTCCCAGGGGACCGGAGTGCGCTGGGTGGATTATACAGGAGGAGGTGGTCCCGAAGATAGGATGAACCCAAACCATATAGGGCTTTAAAGGTAATAACCAACACCTTGTACTGGACCTGGAAACTAATGGGCAGCCAGTGAAGTGATCTTAAGATTGGTGTTATATGGTCTCTTCTCATTGTTCCTGAGACCAACCTGGCTGCCATATTCTGTACTAGTTGAAGTTTCCAGACCAAGCAAGAGGGTAGCGTCATGTAGAGCGCATTACAGAAATCAAGATGAGAAGTTACCAGAGCATGGACCACAGTTTCAACGTCCCTAACTTCCAGGAAAGGGCACAGCTGGCGTATCAGCCGAAGCTGATAACAGGCACTCCTGATTTATCATCTGAAGCGACGGATCCAGGAGCACCCCCAGACTGCAAACACAGTCCTTGGAGGATAGTGTGACTCCATCCAGGACTGGGAGTTGTATCCCCATAACTGGGTTTGGGGCCACTACTGAAAGTACCTCCATTTTGTCTGGATTCAATCTCAATCTGTTTTTCCTCATCCAGTCCATTACTGCTTTAAGACAATCATTGAGAGGAGAGACGCCATCTGAAGTCAAAGCTGAAGACTGAGGCATGGAGAAATATATCTGGATATCATCAGCGTACTGATAACACACCGCCCCATGTCTCTGGATGATCTCTCCCAGCGGCTTCATATATATATATATAGAATAGTATCAGGGACAGGATGGCGCCTTGTGGGACACCACAATTAATCTCTTTCCTCGTAGAGCGACTGTCCCCGAACATCACCATCTGGGATTTGTCCAAGAGGAAGGAACAGAACTATTGCAGCGCAGTGCCTCCAATTCCTAACCTTCTCAGGCGATCCAAGAGGATGTCATGATCTATTGCAGGGGTAAGCAACCTTTTTGAGCCGGGGGCCGGGTTGCTGTCCCTCAGACAATTGGGGGGCCAAAGCACCAAAAATTAATTAATTAATTAACTAAAAAAAATAAAAAATATATATGCATACACACTCTCTGAGCTCCAGAAAAGTCATGGCAAAACC